AAAGCAATTTTACCTTGTACTGGAACCCTGGTATTGTAGAGGGTTACGCATTGGGCTGTTAACCGCATGGTCTGTTGTTCAAATACACCAGCCATTTCATGGGAGAAAGATGAGGCTTTCTGTTCCTGTAGAAATGTATAGACTCAGAAACTCTATTCAGGGTTGCTATGAATCAAGACCGACTCAACAGCACACAACAACAAACTTTGTATTAATATTGTATTGTTTGTTTTCCTTTCTAAGATGTACCGCATTATTAGGCTTTTGATAAAAATGTGTTCATTGAATTATAATCAATTCCCAGTGTCAATCTTCTTGAAAACCTTAGATATTCTAATGTTGTTTGTTGTTAAATGCCGTTTAGTCGGTTCCAATCCATAGCAACCCTGTACAGGGTCTCTGAGGAGCAGTTGGTGAGCTTGAACCGCTGACCTTGTGGTTCAAACTGACTTTGCAGTCCACCACATTAATTCATAGCATCACATAGATGCAATGATAGGTAAATATAATTGCAAAAATCGATCTTATTTTAATGTTTGATATGAATCAGTTTGTAAAATAACCTATGCAAATAAAACACTAAGTCCTTGGTCATCATTGTAATTTAAATGGTAATTTGTTTTATCATTACTACTGCTAACAATCCATGCTCTTTTCAATTTGCTCCTTAAGGTAGTAAATTTGTATTAAATTTATATTAAAACATTGTTTCTTTTCTGAGTAGAAAATGCATTAAAAGTTATTAAGAGATTTTAGTTTTAAAAATATGTTTATTGATGGTTTCTCTCCACTCCCATGAGTAACTTGGTTCCAGGGCCTCTTCCCACTTGCCTGCCTGCCTGCCTGCCCACTGCACATCACCTGGGACTGCATTGTTAGCTTCTGCTGGGAGCTGATCATTTCCAATGCTTGCTCCATAGGCCAGGACACCTCTACCCACTGTGCCTCTACCACGGAAAGTTAAATTTGAAGAGAGGGGAAGAGGAAAACATGGAGAAAAGTATCCACCAGGAGTTGAGGAACTGACCCTGGAGGCTGTTTGAGAACTTGTCCTGAACAACTGCAAATCAAATAAACATTGAGGGTTTAGTGATTGAAACTGTGAATTTGGAGTTTCTCAATGTAATAAATGTAGGCGTGACTCCAGTTTCAAATCTTCAAATTACCAAAACTGAAAAAGCTCAAGCTCAGTGACAATAGAATCCTTGGTGTTAGGAGAAAAACATCCAAAGCTCACACATCTAAACCTAAGTGGAAATAAACTGAAAGATATCAGCACCTTGGAACCTTTGAAAATACTGCAATGTCTGAAAAACCTGGATCTGTTTAACTGTGAGGTTACCAACTTCAGTGATTACCGAGAAAGTGTCTTCAGACTCCTTCCCCAGCTGACCTGCCTAGATGGCTGTGACCCAGAGGACCAGGAAGCCCATGACTTAGATGTTGAGGTGGACGGTCAGGATGAAGAAAATGAGGTTGAGGAGGATGAGGATAAGGAGGATGAGTATGAAGATTTTGATATGGAAGAGGATGAAGATATAGATGGGGAAGAAGATGAAGAGAAGCCAGTGGGGAGGAAGAAGAATTTGGCCATGATGCAGAATTTGATGAAGATGAGGATGAAGATGAAGAGGAGGAAGAAAGTGGGAAAGGTGAAAAGAGAAAGAAAGGAATGATGATGAAGATTATAAAGATCACAAATAATCCGCAAAAAAAAAAAAAAAAAGAACTGTTCAGTATTGGTTGGACTGCTCACATGGATTTGGTAGCTATATTTTGGTTTTGGTTTTGTCTTAAAGTAAATCCCAGGACACTGCACCCACCCACCCAAACCCACCCAAAGAGCCAAAGGATAGTTCCTGTGACATTCCTCTATTTAGTCTCTCTTGGAAATCCACCACCAAGTTTGGGGACTTCACAATAAAATTGTTAGGATTGATAGGTTTTCATGTAAGACTCTTGCTGTAGTGTGGCTAGCTGTGATTGGTGAGGCTTAATCATTCGTGGCTACCAGTAACACTGAGGTTGAAACACCATTTTTACTGTCTTCACAGAAAAGAAGGTTTGTAAATAAAACCTTAACATTTTGGGTCTGGTAAAAAAAAAAAAAATATATATATA